TATGTGATCCCATTTTCCAGTTCGTACCACACTATAGAAATCAAAGAAACATGCAGAGATTGGAGTGACAAAGAAGTATCAGATATTTCTCCCTGAGGAAAATGTTGATAAAGGCTGAGGTCTCTGGGTGGGTGAGAAGTTTGGACAGGTATATGTACCCACTGAAGCTGGTTGAGTTAAACTTGAAAACATACTTGAATATTCAAAATATCAACACTTGAGGGACATCTGCGTGACTCAAACGGTTAGGTGGCCAACTCTTGATTCTGGCTCAGGTCATAATCTCGAGGTTTGCGAGATCGAGCCCTGCATCAGGCTCTGGACTGACAGTGCGGAGCCTGATTGGGATTTTCTCTCTCTGCCTCTTTCTCTCTCTGCCCCTCTCCCCACTCACACTGTCTCATTCTCTCTCAAAATAAATAAATAAACTTAAAAAATATCAACACTTGAAACATGGGGTTTTCGAGTACGAAGAAAAAGTGCATGGACTAGGTTTTGAGTTGTGTCTTTGTCACTTACTAGGTGTGTGATATGGGAAATGTCATTTAAACTTTCGGAGCCTTAGTTTTTTGTTTTTGTTTTGTTTTGTTTTGTTTGTGGGTTTGTTTCTTTTTCTTTGGAGCCTGAGGGTTTTTTTTTTTTTTTTAATCTTTTAAGTGGCAATACTAATAGCATCTAACTCATAGGATTGGATTGAAGTTTGAATAAGGCAATCAGTATAGACTATCCTTTGTAATGTTTGGTGCATACTAAGAGCTCAGAAAGGTTAGTTGCCATTAATATGATCTTAGGACCTAGAAGCCCATGTTTCCAAGATGTGCTTATATGTTGAAGTCCTCAGGCCCTTTACATCTCAGCCCAGCTCCTCAGCAGAACTTCTGACCTACCTATCTCCCATTCAACATCTTTTTCGGAAAGTGTCACAAGCACATTGGTCTCAACAGATCCCAAAGGGCTCTAATGATCTTCCTCCCAAACCAGCTTCTCCCCCAGTCTCCCCTGTCTCAATCAACAGCATACATACCACCCAACTATTTAGCCAAAAAAGATGGAAACATTCCCAGGTCTTCCCTCTCTCTCCTGCCCTACAATCCCATTAATTCCACCTCCTCAGCATGTCTCAACTCTGTCCATTTCCTCCTAACATCCATTGCCATCACACTAGCTTGAGAATCACCATGTCTCCCTTGAAACACCCCCACCATCTCTCCCCATCATTTCTGGCTTGTCTCTAATCCACTTTTCACAATCAGTCACATGGACTTTTGAAGTCAGTCCCGGGCTGCTTATTGGGATCTGTGCAGTTCCCCTACACACTGATAAATTTCTGACCACGGTCCTGTGCATCTCCACATGATCCACAATCTGTTCTGGCCTCCCCACTGTACTTGCAGCTCAGGGCTCTGGATGGTTTTCATTTTTATCAATATGCTTTATTTTTTATTTTGTAGGAAAATTGAATATATGGTACAGGGAGATCCCATACATACCCTCTCCCCACATCTTCCTCTATCAGTAGTGGGGTAAATTTGTTAAAATTAATGAACTAATATTGATACATTAGTATTAATTAAAGTCCATAACACAAAGTTAACTTTCCATTGAACGACTCCATGGGTTTGACAAAGATGGAGTGCCATGTAACCACTGTCACAGTCTCCTGCAGAATAGTTTTGCTGTCCCCAAACGTCCCTGTGCTCCACTTACTCATGTCACCTCTCCTCCTCTAAATCTTTTTCCTGTTGCTATAGTCTTTCTTTTTCCAGAATGCCGCACATTCTGAAAGCCATACAAGTGGAATAATATAGTACATAGCTGTTTTAGATTGACTTCTTTCACTTAGCAGTGTGCATTTAAGGCTTCTTCCTGTAGTTTTGTTACTTGATAGCTCATTTCTTTTTATTGCTGAATAATATTACATTATATGGCTGAATAATATTACATTATATGGCTATAACTTGATTTGTGTAGCCATTCACCTGCTAAAGGACATCTTAGTTGCTTCAGTTGCTTAGTTGATGATTATGAATAAAGCTGGTATAAACATTTGTGCGCAGGTTTCTATGTGGACGTAAGTTTTCAATTCTTTTCGGGAAATCCTTAGGAATGCAATTGCTGGAGTGTCTATGGTTAACTTTGTAAGAAATCACCACACTGTCTTCCAAAGTGGCTGTTCTATTTTGCATTCTCATCAGCAGTGAATGAGCATTCCTGTGGCTCCCCATCCTTGTGAGCGTTTGGTGTTGTCGATGTTCTGAATTTTAGCCATTTTAATAGATATGCCAGAGGTATCTCATTGTTGCTTTAATTTGTAATTCCCTAATGACTTATGATGTTGAGCATCTTTTCATACACTCAGTTGTCATTTATATATCTCTTTGATGGGGTATCTGTTCAGTTGAAAAGACTATCCTTTCCACATTGTACTGTCTTTGCTCCTTTGTCAAAAATCAGTTGACTCTAATTGTATGGGTCCATTTTTGGGCTCTTTATTCTGTTCCATTGGTCTGTCTATTCTTTCCCCAATACCACACTGTCTTGATTACTGTGGTTCTACAGTAGGTCTTGAAGTTGGATAATGTCTGTCTTTTGTTATCCTTTGTTCTGTGGTTTTGACAGCCCTAGGGTATACCTGTCAGCCTCCAAGGTTGATTCCTAAAGGATTCTTGATAAGCCTCACAAATGTAAGAGGGGTGGGGTCATAAGCAAACATGCTCATCCAAGTCCCTTTCTCCAAACCCCCAAGTTTCTTACCATAACTTATTCAGACTCTACAAGTCAGGCCCTGGCTTCCTCCCTGAACTCATCATTCTCCACTTTCCCTCTAGCACATTCTGTCCTAGCTACACTTGCTCCACACTGTGGGTCATACGTGCCATGCTCTAGCTGGCTTCTGGTCTGTGCTTCAGTGTCCCCTCTATCAGGGGCACCCTTCTTTCAGACTATGATATGGCTCAGTCACTTCATGTAGGCTCCTGTTCCAATGGGACTTCTGCAGATGTCTCCCCTGACACCTGTAGCCAACTCCCTTGCTCTCTGTTCTCTCATCCTACACTTACCATTATCTGTGTATTGTCTACCGCAGGGCCCTTGAATATAAGCTCTGTAAGGGTGGTTGGATGTCTTGTTCACCTCTGCATCTTCAGTGCCCAGACCAGTGCCTGGCACATCACAGGTGCTCAGAAAATATTTGTTAAAAGATTCAATGCACTAATAACCCTGGCAGTGCTGATTACATGCTTGATATGGACCACGTCTCTTGGAATCATTTCTACATTTTATTTCTAGCATTTCCCAAATAATTTTGATTCTAGGCTAGAAATAATTACCATGAGGTTGTTAGAGGACCTAGCACAGACCTGGGCACACACTGAGGACACAATGACATTTGTGGATGGATGGAGCTCTGCTGGACCTTTGCTTTTAGGCTGTGCCTTGAGCGGAATACAGTATATGCAATATCTGCACAGAGCCTATACGAGTAGGAGTTCCAGCAGCATTTGATAGGATATTTGATAGTGTACTAATTTTTCTCTGCTGCTTTTAATTTTAATTCATTCTAACCTTTTCTTCTCGTTCACAGTCCCACTGTGGTGCCTGTGAGCTGATGTCTTCATCAAAGCAGACATCGCTGGTGAACGTTCTGGGATGGCCCCAACTCTCCCTCAGGAGCCTGCTACTAATTCCACCCATTACAACATGCATGGAGAGTTACCATTTTCCTTCCAACACACTCTACCAAGCACTTTTTTGTGTCTTATTTTGTTGTCTGCTGTATTGAGTAATTACCCAATTAAAAAAAGTTCCTAAAGGTCCTCACATTCTTCCTTTTCCCCAAATCCTCTTGATCTAACTAGAAAACTTTTAGTTTCACATAAGTCTGAATTTTAGGAACATAAGATAACTTAGACAGACTCTTTTGATCTACTTCACTCTTGCATGTAGGAGGGACGGACTGCAGTGGCTCAAGGGGTTAGAAATGGTGCTATTTCCACAGGGCAGAAATTTCTAACTGACTCAGCCAAGGGTTTTGAGAACCTGAGAGTCATATGAAATCAGCCTTTCTGGGGCATCATAAATTCAAACATCAGACACACCAAGTTAAAGCCCCAAGTCCAGGGTACCAGAATCAGAGACGAGGATAGTGTCTCAAAGCCAAGAGCTGACAGCTCAGCTCTGATGGGAAGAAATTCAGAGGAGGTTGGATGGGATTTGGAATGTTCTCAGTGGCTGAAGCCTCATGAGGAGAGACAGGTAGGCCAAGAGCAGGGAGAATAATCACTTCTTTGGGAGGACTTTTGATATTTCTGTGTGACCACAGCTGTCACATGGGCATTCAAATCTTGATATAGAGTTTATGAAGGATTTTAACATGTGCTATTGTGTGTGACCAGTTCTGCTAGTTAGAAATGATTATATTTTCTCATTATTATTGCTTAGAAAACTAAAGGATAGAGAAGTTATATGACTCGCCCAAAGTTACAAGCTAGGAAATAGTTGAGACAGGATTCAAGCAGAGTTGTATCTAATTTAGAAGTTCTTTTTATTTACTCTATAGATACTTACTCAGTACTTACCATATGCCAGACACCATTCTAGAGGCTTAGGAAATATCAGCAAATCAGAAGGACAAGCACCTACCCTTCTGGGTCTTACATTCTCTCCGTTATAACTACATCATGCAGACCTTCTTGGTAGGCTCTTGATCTAACGAGTACAGGGTGGTTGTACCCAGTGCAATAATACAGCATATCTGTTTATGAAAGAGGCATTTTCCAACCACAATTAATAAGAAGAAGAACAAGCATTTATTAAAGATGTATTATGTGTGGAGCATTGCAACAAGTGTTTTCTGTGCATTATCAAATTTATCTTCACAAGCACCCTCTGAAGCAGGTACTATTGTTCCCATTTTAAAGATGGAGAGATTGAGGCTTGAGGATTTTTTTTTACATGATTCACACAGCTCATATTATAGCACAGTTATAATATAACACAGTCATATTATAGCTGGATTTGGATCCAGGAGAGTCTGACTCCAAAGCTCATGCCCTTTATCATAGCACCTCACTGTTAGCGGTTTTGTTGCTTGACAAAAAAAGAAGGAAAAAAAAAAGAAGTGGTCAGAGATATACTCAAAAGGGGGGGGTACCATTTTGACTGGATGTCAGCAGGAGATGCACTTTTCTTTTTTCTCACCCACATCAATAGGACGGTGTTTCTGCAGGATTTCCAGCAACTGTGGGCTATGGTCCCTCTCCTGATAAGGTCTTGCGAGATTAAAACAATTAAAAATCAAAATGACTCTCAGTGACCTTTGTTAAAGTACTCACAAAAGAGGGCTCAAATGTATTTTTAAAAAAGTAAATAGGGCACCTGGGGGCACTGTATCATAGTCAGTTAAGCATCTGACTCTTGATTTCAGCTCAGGTCATGTTCTCACAGTTCATGAGCTCAAGCCCTGCATCGGGCTCTGTGCTGACAGTGCAGAGCCTGCTTGGGATTCTCTCTCTCCCTCTCTCTCTGTCTCCCCACCGCCAAAAAAAGATAAACATTAAAAAAAATAATAGGGCGCCTCAGTGGCTCAGTCAGTTAAGCATCTGACTTTGGCTCAGGTCATGACCTCTCAGTTTGTGGGTTTTTGCCCTGCGTTGGACTCTGTGCTGACAGCTCTACCCCTCTCTCTACCCCTCTCTTGTTCTCTCTCTCTCTCTCAAAAATCAATAAATAAACATTAAAAAAAAAAACAATAAAAGGGGCACCTTGGTGGCTCAGTTGGTTAGATGTCCGACTTTGGCTCAGGTCATGATCTCAGGTTGTGAGTCAGAGCCCCATGTCAGGTTCTGTGCTGACAGTTCAGAGCCTGCAGCCTGCTTTGGATTCTGTGTCTCCCTTTCTCTCTGTCCCTCCCCCACTCATGCTCTGTCTCTCAAAAATGAAGAAATGTTTAAAAAAAAATTTAATAATAAAAAATAGAAAAGCAAATGTAAAAAGATTTCAAAAATAAATAAAATATTTAACAATAATAATCCAGGACTAAACTCCAAATTCTATAAGCAAAACAAGAAAGTTGTGGAGAAACATTCATGGAGACAGAAGCTTGCTCCTGTCTTCATTGTACAGGGAAGTAAACAGGATTTCATTGTTGAAGGTGATAATAAGAAAAGTTAATTTTGAGTATTTTTTAATGCACAAAGGGTTTGACATTAAAGACACGCTATCTCCTCTTCTCAAAGTCCCCCTAAAGGAAAAATGTCCCACACGGTGATCACGATGGGAGAAGGCTCCTTAGCAGCGGGAAGAATGGAGGGAAGGCAGAAGGGAGAAGCGGCAGCTAATCACACTGTGTCAGACTCGCTTTATGGCCCTGTATATTGTTAATTTTAGCAAGTATTTTTTTTCCTGTATCCCCTTTAAAAAGTAGGTATTTGCAGTTTCTAAATGCATGTTTTGTATGTTTCATTATTTCTAAAATTAAGTACGTACCTGTTATTTCTAAATTATCATAGTAGGAGCTGTGGGGAAAGAGCTTTATTTGAAAGCAGTGGTGCCTATTTTTAAAGAGCTTAGAGCACAGCTCCCATCGCAATTTGAAAAAAATAGGTTTATGTAGGCAATAAAACCACCTGTAATCTCATGGTAACCTAATAAAAACATTAACATTTTATTTTACTTATTTTAGTCCCCCCTCACCCCAAATACCTATTACTCATCTAAATCATGTCACTCGGGCAAACTGAAACACTGCCTTCCCCAACTCTGTTAGATACCTTTGCTCTTTCTTTCTACACCCACTCCCCTTAACCCTATTCTGTGTCCTGGGAATCTGGCTGGTATGGACACATCAACACTTTCTCCTTCCTCTAGCATCCAGTTGGCATTTGGCTAGTGGGAAATCCCAGCAGGGTTGCAGAAGGAAGGAGTAGAATGATATTGGGTTAATTTTTCTCCTTGCTCTCTTCCTGCAGGTTCACCGCAGGTAGACTTCATTTTTCAGTTGAAGATCAAAGCTCCTGTCAAGGAACTCCTGTCCATGTGACTTTCTCCTTCCAGGTGCCAGTAACTTTATCCTTCCATCCACCCTCCAGATTTAGGGGGTTGCCACCACCCTGGGGTAATGTACTATGTGACTGCACTGCACTCTCCTCTCATCTTTGTAAGGAGTCTGTTTATTAAGCTTGTGTCAAATTAGTCTAACTAAAGCTTGCCATTTATCTCCTGTTGGGATCTTGATTAAAACAATAAATGGTATCGTATGAGGTCCCAGAATAGAGACCTTCAATATTGGGTCCTGGGATTGGGTTGCTCATATGTTTGACTAATGTAGGGATAACCTCCTTGCCGCGGGGAGGTGGGATGTGGGTAATCCATGGTAAGTGGAGACATGCATCATGATTAGGGTTTCATCAATAGTAGCATGGAAAATGTGCAGGTGGGGGACATAAAGTGCCTGTGATACCTTATGGATATGGTGATAATTATCATAAATATTGTGAAATCACATGGCCTCCTCTGTTGGCTCTGGAAGGTATTCTTGGGGGGAGAGGAGAATTTGTAAGCTGTAAACACTGAACTGAGAACATGGTGGACACCTGGAAGCTTTCAGGCTGTGTTTGAAGAAGCCCTTCAGCTGCTATCATAGGGCAACTACAGTGAGGATGAGGCCACATGTCTTTGTAGCACCACTCATTATGCATCTGGTGCAATGCTACACCACAGAAAAGACTGTCATGGGAGAAAGTATGTGATCCCGAGTTGTGGGTTGAGTACATATGAGCAGGCAAGTATGAGACTGAGACTAAAACTTTAAATCCTTGAATTTCTCAAATTCCTCTGAGCTTCCTTTGGCTACAAGGCAGTTCTACCCATGCACTGCCTCTGACTCCCACCACCCACCCCCAGCCACCGTCAGCAGCAGCCTTACCATCAGAGGGGCAGCTGCGTCAGAAGCTGAAGTTGATTATCCCAGGGCTCACTCCCAGCACACCTCCCTGTCTCCAGGCCTGTCACCAGACCCAACAGAGCAAGAATTGAGGAGCAGAAGGCTATTTGTACAAGAAAGAACTTATTCACCAGAAGAATTTCAAGGCTGGGACAGCAGTGTGGGACTGAATTTTAAGGGTGTTTGTGCAAGTAGGAGAGAATAGCAATTTCTAATGGGCCAAGTTCATGAACACTGGAGCATCCTTCTAGGATTTGGGACTTAATGTGTTGGTTAAGCCATGTACCTTGGGCATTCGTGTCTCCTAGATTGGATAATTGAAACTCAGACTCAAAGCATGTGAGTTAATGGGGTTTAAATACTGGAACTTCCTTGATATGTTTCAGAGAAGGGAGTCTGAAGGTTCAGGGAGACGGAAATGTGACAATGTGTCTACCATGTGCCGTCTTGTAGCCTGCCTCTAACCATATCCTCATAGGAGACCCTGGAGACATGCCCTTCACCAAGGCATTAACACATTCACTAGTGAGAGGAGCAGAAGCATCCTTAAAGCATGTTGTGTTGTCTGTATCCTGTGGGCTGGAGATTTGGGAACTGGATTTCCTGATCTTGATGGGTTAATGGGATCCCACACAGCATAAGCTAGGTGGCAGCTCTTCACCATTAGACACAGAGTGGGTACAGGTAACAGGATAAACACAGGGATGGAGTGGTCACAAAAACACTCTAACTCTCAGGGATCTCTGAAGTTGGTTAATTGACCACAATATCCCTAAACACAAAGTAATCTACTAGGGTGCTGCTTTATATATATAGTAAAAATTCTAAGACTACTGGCCAGAAATATGACTTGAGTCTCTGCAGTGAGGATTTTCAACTTTTTACTTAATCCCAAAACCAAAACCGATTCACATATCCACAATCTCTCAGCCGTGGGTGAGACTGGCCCTCCTTGAAGAAGGATCCTGCTATGTTTCTCCACGTGTATAATGTGAATCTTCCTCAAATATTTCTCCAAAGGGGACTGCAGCCACTTACTAAGGTGTTATGCACTGAAAAAAAGGATAATAGCTATGTTTTCCATGGTCATTAGATACTGGCTCCTAACTGATGCTAGTATCCAGAGACCCAAAATATCTCCATGGTCCGCCCTTCAGGATGGGGTCTTATAGAGACGAAGTAATAGATGGGATCTTGGCTCTAGAAGGTCTCACACGGACCCAGTGGCCCAAACACCCACCTGCCATTTCTCCCCAATCCTGGAATATGTAGTGGGAATAAATATACAGAATTGTCAGAGTAAGTGCTATGATAGTTGAGAGGGTCAAGACCAAGTGAAAGGCCTTGTAACTAATGTGAATTGATAACTGTCCCCAGAACAAGACACATAAATCAGAAATTAGCACTTACAGCAAAGATTTGAGAGACTGCAGGAGTCATGATCCCTACCCAATTCCCATTTAACTCATCTGTTTGGCTGCTACAAAGGGCACTTATATCATGGAGTATAACAGTTGGTTATCACAAATTTAGCCAAATGTTACTGTTACTACCAGCTATAATCCCAGAAGTATCATCTTTACTGGAGCAACCCAGCACAATTCCTGGCACATAGAGCTATGACTTGGCAAATGCTTTTTGTCCCATCTCAATTAGTAAGCAAAATCAGAATCATCCTGTGTGTACAATAAAGCAGTATATGACCATCTTGATCCAGAGCCATGTCAGCTCTCTTGGTGTTTGTCACTGTAGTCTGGAGGGGCCATGATTATTCTCATAACCTACTAAATATCACCCTGGTCTGTTACATTGGTGACATTATGCTAATTGGTTATGGTTAGCAGGAAAGAGCAAATACCCCATATACCTTAAGATATATCCATGTCAGAAGATACTGGACAAATCCTGTTAAATTTCAGATGCCTAGCACATTGATGAAGTTTCTAGGGTCCAATGGTCTGTGCTTATCAGCATTATGCCATTGAAATCACAGCCTGTTTGCTGTGCCTTTCATCTTCCACCGTGAAGAAAGAGGTGCAGCACTTGCAGGCCTCTTTGTGTGTTGTAGACAACATGCATCATATTTGGTCATGCTCCTCTGACCTGTTTATTGAGTAACTCATAATGATGACAGCTTTGAGTGGAGCTTAGAGCATAATAATGCTCTGTAACAAGTCCAGTCTGTGATGTAAAGCATTACAAAGCTTTGTGATGCTGTAGGCCCAATGGTATTGAAAACATGTATAGCAAACAGAGATCCTGTATGAAGCCTCTGGCAAGCCCCAAAAGGTGCTTGACTCCTAGTGTTTGTAATGAGGACTTCTTCTGTGACAATTATTCTCTATTCGAAAAGCATTTACTGGACCCTAGTAGAAACTGAATGTCTAGCCATCAGACACCAAGAGACTATGAGACCTGAGCTGTTCATCATGACCTTGATGTTATTTGATACATTGAAGCATAAAATTGGCACATACAGCAGCCTTGCATTATAAAGTATAAATGGGATATACAGAACGGGGCCCCAATTGTCTGGGAGATACAAATAAGCTGCACTAACAGATGGTAAGACTCCCCTAGAGTCTCATCTACTGCTTTGCTACCTCTTCCTCAACTCACACCTCTGGCTTCATGAGACATTTCCTATTGTCAGTTAATGGAGGAAGAAAAAGTATGAGCCTGGTTTAATGATGGATCTGCAAAGTATGAGAGTATACACTGGAAGTGGATGGCAGCTGCATTTCCCCCATGCTGGGATGTCACTGAAAGAAAGAAATGAAGGAGACTAATCCAATGGGAACAGCCTCAGGCACTACAACTGGTTGTCCAATTCATGCGGAAGGAAAGATGGTCTGAGCTGCAGATATACACCACCGACACATGAGCAATGGCTAATGGGTTGGCTGGCTGCTTTAGGGAAAGAACAAGATTGGAAGACAGGAGAGAAAGAGATCTGTAAGGAAGAAATGAACTGGAACCTAGAATAGGTAAAGAGAGTGAAGACACTTATATCCTACATTGATTCCTATCTGAGGGCATCCATTGCAGAGGAACCTCTTACAAACCTAGACAAGAACAAGTGTCTTGTGGATGTCAGTCCCTACATACCCTTGGACTTGCTCAGTGGGCCCATGTATGAAGTGGGCATGACAACAGAGATGGAGGTTATGCATGGTCTCAGCATCATGGACTCCCCCTCATCCATGCTGGCCTGGCTGTGCCATGCTAGGTGCCTACCTTGTCAAGACCGGAGGCCAACTCTAGGCTCCAGATATAGCACCATTCCAGGGAGAAGTGGCCAACTCTCTGTTAAAATACCATATCATTGAACCGCTCCTCTAACAGATAGGGAAACCCTCTGTTCTAATAGGGATAGGCACAAATTCTGAGGGTGGATTAACCTTCCCAAATCAAACTGCTCTTTAGCAACAGTGCTGTTAGTTCAAAAATACATTATGCTTTATCCATACTGTGATATCTGAAACACCATCTCTGTGGACCGAGAAACTCGCTTTACAGCAAAGAAAGTACAGTCGTGGACTCATATCCATGGTCTTCACTGATCTTACCAGTCCCTTCACTACTCAGAAGAATTGGCTTGACAATATGAGGGGATGGTTATGAAGGTCCCATGTATGGTGCCACGTGGGAGCCACACTTTGGGTGCCAGTGAGAACCACCACAACCCAGGAAATGAGAATCACTACAACCCAACCAGTGAGAACCACTACAACCCAGCCAATGAGAACCACCACAACTCAGCCAATGAAAAGTTGCCACACCCCCAAACCCTCCCTTTCCTCCAATGGACTTTCATTTCAAACAGCCCCTTCCAGCTCCCTTCTTTTATCTTTAAAGGTAAGGCCCACTCAGTGTTCTTAAGACTTGCCTATGGTTGGGCATGTTTTGCATGACCTGTATTATAATTATCCTGCTACTCCTGAATAAACTCATTTTGCTGGTAAATTAACTCACTATTTTTATTTCCAAGGTTGATAGGGAGAAGGGGAATGATATTAGAATATTCTCCTGGATCACTCCACGGAGACTGACTTTAGGATGACTGTGTTCCTTGGTTTAATGAAGTCATAGCTCCTATCAAGGTGGACCTCTCCATACTACTTTCCTTGCCCCTTTCCCACACCTTATTAGACTTAGAGGTAGCAAGAGCTCTTTTACTAGCTCCTTATCATAAGTTTTCCTATACTCTGTCCATGCCTTTGTAAATAGTTTCCTTCTTGAACCTGTCTCAATTCATTATTAAAAAAAAATTTTTTTTTAATCTTTATTCACTTTTGAGAGGCAGAGAGAGAGCATGAGCGGGGGAGGGGCAGAGAGAGAGAGGGGGACACAGGATCCGAAGCAGGCTCCAGGCTCTCAGCTGTCAGCACAGAGCCCAACGAGGGGCTCGAACTCACAGACTGCAAGATCATGACCTGAGCCAAAGTCCGCCGCTCAACCGACTGAGCCACCCAGGTGCCCCTCAAGTCATTCTAATGTAAACTCATCGCCCATTTCCTTCCAGAACCATGACTGATTTACCTACCAACACCCTACAAGCATGGGTGAATATATCATAATTAACTCCATTTCCTCCTTGTCGTTAATGTTACTTATGATTATTATTTTGAATTATGCTGCAGAGAGCCTCTCGCTAATGTGTCTCCTTCTGTGTCTCTCCTCGATCTAACATTTCAACATATTTTTAGCTTAGATTCTGAAAATTGAAATGCCCCTTAAAAATTATCTGAAGTCTTTTCAAGTGTCTTAGTACAAATTATGAAAATGTTTTGTGAAAGCATTACACAAATTCATACCATGCAGTAGATAAGTGTGATCATTTTTTATACTTTTACCAATATTGAATATTTGTATTTAAAAATAATTTTGCCAATTCTGTCTTACAATCCATACTTGATTTCTAAAAATTTACCATTCTCTTAATTGCTAGTGAGCTTGTATCTTTCCCCACATTTGTTTATCGGATATATTTTCCTCATATGTGAATTTTCTGCCTTCTCCCATTTATTGAGCTAGCTAGTGGTGTTATTTTATATTGACTGATATGAGCCATTTATAGGAAAAATTAATACTTTGTTAATATTTGCTGCAACTGTTATTTCAGGTCTGATTTTAGCTTTTGTATGTCTGTGTGTCAGGATTTTAAAAATTAATTTGTAAGTGGTTGAATCTGTTAATCCTCTTTGTGCTTTATTCTATTGGTCTAAGCTTAGAAAGTTCTTACTCCTCTGGGGATTTAATTCTTATTCACTCTTCTTTTTTCTCTAGTTTTTCTGAGATTTGATATTTTTATATTTAATTATTTAACCCATCTGGAATTGATTTCTCTGCATGATGTGAAGTAAGGGCCTAAAATTGATTTTTTCCTCCTAAATTGCTACCCAGGGGTCCCAGCACCATTTGCTAAATAATCCTTCCTTTTCTTATTGATGTGTGATGTCTCCTTTATCATATATTAAATTCTCACACATACTTTAATCTATTTCTGGAGTATTTTGTTTCACTGGTCTATCTATTCCTACGTATTCTAGTAAAAAAGGACTTCTTTAGATATGCTTGGGGTAAGAAGATATACAAGGAAGAAACAGTCTGGTTATTTGGGATCAGCTGCAAAATTTTGATGCAATGATGGAAAAAAAATCATACTCTTTATTTTTTCCTGTTTCTCTTTTCTTTCAGAAAAACACTTCATTAAAAAAGAAAGGTCAGGGGCGCCTGGGTGGCACAGTCGGTTAAGCGTCCGACTTCAACCAGGTCACGATCTCGCGGTCCGGGAGTTCGAGCCCCGCGTCAGGCTCTGGGCTGATGGCTCGGAGTCTGGAGCCTGTTTCCGATTCTGTGTCTCCCTCTCTCTCTGCCCCTCCCCCGTTCATGCTCTGTCTCTCTCTGTCCCCAAAAAAATAAATAAATGTTGAAAAAAAAAACATTTAAAAACAAAAAAGAAAGGTCAAATTTTAGTCAACAGGGTATTAGCAGTTAAAAATGGGTGCAAGTTATTAAAAAAAAAGAATAAAAAATTTCATTTACTTTTTTAAATGAGCACAAGTCTCCTGGCCTCATAAGCAAGTTACTGGTATCTTCCATGGTCCAGGAATTGTGTCTGAACTTAAATCCATGATCTCATTTAATCCTCAGATAATTTCTTTGTGGGACACATGTTGTTATCTCCATGTGTCGTGTCCCCAGGATTTCTTAGGCTTCAGTAACCCAACCATGATTCCAAACAGACCCCCACTAACAGAGACAGAATGCACTCTTTCTCTGGCTTCATCCTTGACTGTAATGTAGGAGCCATAGTACTCTCCACATTCTTTACAAATAAGCCAGGGGAGTCCAGTGGTGTCCTCTGTCCAGTGGTGTTCTCTGTGATTAGTTGTCTCATCACCAAGTGGCATCTTACAACTTACCTCCTGTCCTGCTCCAACAATCTTGCTAATGCTCCACCAAGGCAGCATCAATTTTGCTAAAACTTGCCAATACCCAGCCAAGGCTGCTGGTGCCCCATGTTGAAGGGAATAGAGTAGGGCTGGAAGAGTCAAGATGAGGGAACTTCAGCAGAAAGAGGATAACTAGGCTCCATCAAGGAAGTGATCAGGATATGCAAGGAGCAAAGACAGAAATAGGTTATGATGTTAGTAATGTTAGGAAGATAATTATGGAGTTGTTTAACTATAACAGGATGCTGAGTAACAGTTCCCATAAACCTGGAGGAAGTCATCAGGGCCTAGGTGACCATCTCCCTCTGTATCTCTGTCCTATTTAATCTTTTCCTCAATGAATTGAAGAAGGCACATTCATCATGTCTGAAATTAACACTGGAAGTGTAACATTGGAAGTAAACATAGGGTGATATAATAGGAACCCAAATCATTCTCAGTGGATTGGTTAGTGGACCCATATAACTGACTTGGAATATCATAGGCTGCTCAAGTCCTGGATGAGGACAGT